AAAGATTAAAACCTTTATACTAGTAATATAATTTTTAAACGCTTTACAAATATTTTTAGTATCAACAGTCAAACAATGAATACGAAAATATATAATGCGATTCAAATAAAATAGATCTATCTGTCAAATGTCGCTTAAAAGTACGGTTTGCAAAAAAAAACTTGGAACCCTTTTTTAGCACTCCTCTAATTCAAGAATAAATACCAAACATTTGTAAACAAAAAATAACAAATATTGATAATTAATATCGGTTCATATTTTTTTTTCCACTTATTGAGCTTTGGCAATGAATGGTTGGAGAAATCGTCAACCAAATGTCACTTTAAGTTGCGTTCAGAAACTCGATTTCAAACTTTTGTTTACGTAAAGGATGCATGTTCGTATGTGACCTAGTAATAGTGCATAATTATTCATAACTAATCCGGCGGTAATGCAGAGATGAGCGGAATAGAAGAGCTAGATTCTAATTAATGTTTTTTCTCACAGTCTTAATAAACAAATATTATTAAAAATCGGGGGGTTTTGTTTTCTCATACTTAGTAAATAAATTTGATTAAAAAAATCTGATGCTTGTTCTCACTTAATCTTAGCAAAATAAGTTTTATTAAATAAAAACTTTTTTTGTTCACTACCTATTTGGTTTGAATTGTCAGCTATGAGATCACAATATGGCGCCCAGTCGGTCATATTCTTAGTTGAATCGCATTGTAAAAAGGAAACGCAAATAAAAAATAATTAATTACACATGCACAATTAAATTGTATAACACTTACCTTATCTCGTAGCACCTGCCTTCAGTAATACGATTTCTAAATAAACAATATGCCAGAACAAAGTGCCACCCACCTCACCATTATTTGATACACAGTTTCAAAAGTTTGTCAAATTACTCAATTTGAATGAACCAAGGCCATTTATTATTGTGAATTTAAAAAAATTGTAAGTGCTACGCTATCAAGTCACTGATTTTGTTTTAATTTACGATTCGTTTGATTCGAGAACCATTCCTTGTTTAATCGCACCATCTCCGCAGTTATAAGTAAACCATGGACATACAAAAAAGAGGGTAGAGGCACGATATGATGGCCGTTTTGACGTTCATAAAAATTATGTAGTTCTAGAAAGAGTTAATTACAGTACCCTTAGCACGAACCAATATCGAATTCGTAACGTTTGCGAGTCCGAAATGTCATTGTTAAATGTGTACTGCGCCACAAAGTGCGTAACGAGAACTAATTTTTAGTTAGCTGCTTTTCTAGTTTCCATACCAAATTTGACATTGACATTTCGCGCTCGCAAACTATTCAAATTCGATAATGGTTCATGCTAGGGGTACTGTACCCCTAGCATAAAATATCTGGTACAGCAGCGCCATAAAATGCGTTACGAGAACTAAAAATCAGTACATATTTGGCAATGACATTTTGGACTCGCAAACGTTACGAACGCCGATATTCTTCATTGTCATTAGTGACTCGCAGTTTGTCATAAAATTTATCTAATCGGTAATTTTAAGGCATAGAATTAAAATCGCTTTTATCTCATAGGTAAGATTACCCTAGATCCGAAACGTGTCCAAAAGGTACATTGTACGATCCACGGAGCAACGTAAGATGATCGTGTGGTCAAAACCATATAAGGCATTATTTAAACACTGAAAGTCACCTTTATATATACTGTATAAGATCTTAATTAAATCGCATGCGTCAAAGACTTTTGACAGTTCGAAATGCAAGCTTGTAAAATTTTACGACTTATTGCTATATGCTGAAGAATATAGACCTTATTCTTTCGACTCTACGCGCAATAATGAATGCGCTGTTAGCAATATAGCAGGTATGGACCGCGAGAAAGAGACGGCTATACGGCGACGTATAGCCATGCGTCTCGACCATGCATTTGTATCACAAATATTTTATATTAAATCAGTTTATAGAAGTATAAGAACAAAATTTGCTTCAAATGCGTAAAATTAATAACCATTGCTTAGATACCTGTCGAAAAAACGACACTTTTCGTACTATAAGTATTATTTTCGCATTTTTTCTTTGGCATCTTGACTTTGTAACAGTCCGCGCGTGACTGTGACCAAAGAAGTGCTTGAGTGGAGTTCAAGCACTGCTTGATTGGGACACATTTTGAGCGCTCGTTTAATATCGTTGATGTATGTACTTTCCCAGACAATAATTTTAGTTTTTCTCAATACTTCTGCAAATTTGCTCTAAATAGAATAGGTCATTCAAACCCGTCCAGTCGTTTAGCAGGAGAGGTAATAAACACACAAACTTCCGCATTTACAACATGATATTATGTACTGTGTGATATCCCACCAATATTAGAAAAAATTCAATGTTAAAAATCACTTTTATAGAATATTGAAATATCGTCATAAAATTACTTGTGTTTATAAAAATATCGATATGTAATGGGGCAGCACTATGTAAAGGAGCCATTTTTGAAGTGAAAACTTCTTTAGCGGCGATGTAAACTATTTTTTTGGATGGGTAAAAAATGTTAAACTCGCGTCAGGACACGTGGCCTGATTGCGTCCGGACACGTGACCTAATCGAAAATTCGTAAGACGAAAACAATAAAATTGGATATTGTTAAAACATAATAATATTTTTTTTTTGTCGTATTATAATAATAAGTCTCTAATTAGGACGTCCAGGTGGCAGCTTTATTGCGAAGAAAATGCATTTTTTTTACAATAGATGTCGCTAGGTGCGCTTAAATGTGATTCATGTAAGTTGATTTTAATGTAATATAAATTGTCATGTCTGTGTACGATAGCGCAATAAATAAATATTGTAATCTACCACATAAATGGTAGTACTTTTATACTGATAATTAAAGCAATTCGTGCAAAATGATTCCCTAAAATTCCATTTCAAAATATCAAAAATGCATAACGTTAATATTCATGTTTCCACTTCTGCCGGCACTCCCGGAGTGCAACCCGTATTTTTTTTTTATTTCTTAGTAACTTTAGGTAGACACGTTTTTTTCGTAGGTATGCCATCTCCATAGGTTTCAGTACTCAGAGGGGTAATAGGGAATGAATGTCTGATTGTAATATTATTTTTTTTACACATACAGTCCTCGGCATCTACTTTGCTTTACATAATAATGTGCGTAATATTGCTTTATATTTCTATCTACCGCCACAGCTTTTTACTTATCACTAGCTGACCCAGCGAACTTCGCACCGCCATAAAATTAGGGGTTGGCGGTAGAAGGGTGAAAATTTAAGGTTGCATGTATTTTTAATGCCACATTATAAAAATCTTAAATAATAAAAATGGGTGCGTGTACTTATGTAGGCGCGTGAGAAGTTATCCTTCTTTGGCATCGTTTAAAAATTAGTTTTTAATTGCATGCAAATAATTAATTACAATAAATTAATAAAAAGTCTGGAAAAGGACACAGTCAATAAAGTTCAGTTTTAATTTGAAAAAATAAATAAATAATCAAAATATTCAATTAAAATCGCTACTGAATATAATTTACTAGAACATATGTGATTTGCACTTGTATGAAACTCAAACACGTATTCCGAATATACAAACTAGAAACATGTGGATAAATATTATAAATATATAATATAACTGTTACTTTATTACAAAAAATAAAGATGTGGTTTTTGGTTCTACTACACCAATGGTCAAGAGATGGCGCTGTAGTCTCCTGAATCGCGCTTTGGTTCCGTTGTTCCAGATTAATAAATACTTTTGATAGGCCTTCACAATGCAGTCGTTAGCACCGACTAAATAGAGATTCTATTTCTATTTTGTTGGTAGATTTTCTTAATGTGCGGTAAACACAAAAGTAATTTTTGTGTTACAGTGATGCGCGCGCATCTTAAAATTTCACTCTCATCATTTTTTCATAACGCGCCTAAAGAAGTATAACTTCAAAAATACAAAAAATTCTAAATTAAGTGTTAGGGGTGGACAACCCTTGAAGAATAGATAGTAGAACATTCTCAGACCTACTGAATATGCATATCAAATTTCATAAAAATCGGTTAAGCCATTTCGGAGGACTATGGTAACTCTAACATTGCATTGTGCCATGAGAATTTTATAAATTAGATATAATGTCAAAGCTTTTGTATCCTGTCGATATTGTCGTTACTTTAAAAAAAACAGTAATATACCAATGATTCCGTAATCTTCAATGTTGGCGTTATCGTGACTGTTAATTTAGTAAAAAAAATCTTTCTTAGAAATCTAGTACCTAGATTACTACTTAAAAGAATATTAAAGTTAAAAACTGCTAATAACAAAACAGTAAGATAAATCAAGACAAGTCAGGTATAGGTAGACTGACGCAAAGCTCCTGCCTATCCTACAGAGTACAGCTTTATTGATTATATGTCTAGACATATTATTTGGAGTAGTCCAATTGACAAGTGCAGCGGGGAAAGGTGCAACGCGCGCAGCGGTCGGCGATATGGATCGCAGGCTGCATGCGCGCGCTGCATGCTGCCCGGGCAGAGCCTAGGTTTCCTAGGAACCGAAATATTGATTTCCTATAAGCATACTTTGAGCCTAGGACTAACGAACAGTAAGTCAGTTTGAATCGATCTCTTGCATTTATGCTAATTCAGTGCAATTTATTACTGTACAGGCAAGAAATCATTTAGACATATATAATAACTCAAACTAGATATCTGTAGTATATAAACAAACAATTATTTTCTGCAACTAACAGAATAACAAAGAAATACATTTTGTACTGCTCCCAAATAAAATTGGGAACAGGACAGGCAAACAATTTAATGTAATGTTAAAATATTTGCACAGCGATTAAAGCATTTTTACCAAAGAAACAATCAGATGTTAACCTAGAGGAACACACATTATTAATAAATAATTCGCTTAGACAATGGGCGAGCTGCAATTTTAATGCTGTAATTGCGCTTGGCTTTGGAGTGTGGGTAGCACTTACAACATGGCAATCTTAGGCACAGCTCATGAATTAAGTCTAGTACTCACCCACTAAGGTGGCCTTGCGATGAGTGTTAAGATCATGATGAAGGTGAGCCAGAAGAGTGGGCAGCTTACTAGAACCGCTTGATACGAATCTTGCTTCCTCTTCCATTATAGTCTGGTGATGCAAACAATCTGAGTTAGTCAACTAGCTAAATGCAAGAAAATCTTTCACAAAACAAAGTACTCTGTTCCATCATACAACTACTACAAATGGCAACACAGACATTGCAAATCACCATAACATGTCTCGTGTTTAATAACCTCCTATGTAAGGGTTCCTTACCCAAAGGGTAAAAATGGACGACAAATTCCGACGACCTCCGTGGCCGAATGGTTTGTACGCCGGGTTTCATGGTGTCGCCAACTCGAGAGGTCCCGGGTTCGAATCCCAGTGGGGGCAGATGTTTGTGTGATGAATAAGTGTTTTTATTTCTATATAAATATACTAATTTAAGTACAGTATATGTATTCTATCCATTACCCTAGTATCCCATAATACAAGCCTTATAGTGCTTACTTTGGGGCTAGGCTAATTGGTGTGCGTGTGTTTGAAATATTTATATTATTTATATTTATTTATTACTAATACTGCACTGTCTATCTATCTGTCTGTAATCAGGCTCTATCACATGAGCCTAGCCTAGACAGTTGAAATTTTCACTCATGATATATTTATGTTGCTTTATAACAACAAATATTTATTTATTTATAGCCTTTATTTAAAGATCAACATTATATATATAAAAATAAATCATTGTGTTCATTTTTATTACTCTTCTAACTCTGCGTGACTTTAGACACAGCCTTGTCCATCTCTTTCCACTATTTCCTCTCTCTAGCCAGCCTTGTCCTCCCATCTCCTGAGTGGTTTCCCCTTCCTCTTTTTTTGCCTCTCTTCGGTACCTTAAGGATACTGACTTCCTCCATTTTTTTCACCTCCTATCATGTTGGCCACATGATACCCATCCCATGTTTATTTAAGACTGTTCAACGTCAATAAAACATCTTAAGCTTTCGTTGGCTCCCTAACGGTGCTGTGTCTGATTTTTTCTATTTTTCTTTTGCTTAGGCATGCTTTTTTTCCATTGCCCATTGACATGTTCTTAGTTTATTTTTCCTGGCATTTAGTCAATGCCAACAAATAATAAAACCAAAATAACATTTATATATTTAAAGTCCGCATACATCTGACATGTTTTATTTCTGTTTTGTGCTCCATATTATAATATAAATTGTATAAATTAAAGTACAGACCCCTTTGTACGCAAGTCCGACTACCACTTATCTGTTTTTTTTTTAATTCAAGTCTATTTTGCAGAAACAGAAATTCATATTTTGAAAATTTCAGCCAAATGTTTGATGTGTTAATTTCAACCTGTTATAGTTCACGAGATACAGCCTTCAGACAGACAACCCTTAAGGGAATAGTAATAGGGTTACATATTTATTACTTATTGGGGTAACAAACCCAACACCCACTAATTTTGTGGTTACTTTAGTAACTTTTAATTACTCTCTGTACTTTACAATAACTCAGCCCAAAATTATCTAAACAATGTGCAATCCTTGTCTTTGAAAATTTCTTAAAAAAATAATTTAAATAAAGTAAATTTATTAAATTAGAATTACAGTCCATCAAATCTAACAAGTACCGTTTGACGTTTCATGTTTTTCAAACAGATATAACTTTGTTTAAGCGTAACTTATTCAAATTCGATAACCTTTTCCGTAAAACCATGAATTTATAAAGGTTTTATTATTGGATCTAAAAATGTACAATTCTTAATATCTAAATTTAATTGAAAACTTTCAAACAAAGCAAAATAAACAATATTTACACAATAAATAAGTTCTCATAGTTCTATTCTTGACCTCATTGCAAAGTCACATAGTTAGGTCACTGCTCGTAGTGTTGCGACTCTTCGGAATCAATTTTGTACGAAAAAATCGTGTACATTATTCGGAAAATCGAATTTATTACTTTCAAATTATCAATTAATGACTTTGTAAAAATACATGACAGATGACAAAATGATCAAATTTGATGGCTCGGTCCATAATCTACTCAGATTACGATGTTGTAAGCGCTAGAAGCGCTTATGGCCAATGTCAGATCACGGCCAGAAAGCGAATTTTCGACGTAATGTTTAGAGGTAGAGCGCAATTTATTTTTTGTATAAATTCACGTTACTGCTCGATCGCATAATGCATTTAATACATAGGTACCCTAAAATAAATTAATTTAATTATTTTCAAATAAATCTATATAGGCGAAATAGCTCCAGAAAAAAGATTTTTATATCAGACAACACTGCCGACCACAAGCGTCCCCCTCGCCCGCGTCAGCAGTCTCTCGCCATCTTGGAAGCTGACTGTGCGCGTAACTACTTTCTCGTTTGTGTTTTACAATTTGTGACTTGGCTATTACTTTTCTGGACTCTGAACTAAGCAAGTGTTTATTAATAATGTCCAAAAGAGGACGTACTTTGAACAGCCAGGCTCGTGAATTGGTGGTGAAATGACACGAGTATTTTGAGCGTGAATGTCAAAATGGTGGAGCTCTACTGCCAGTTACACAAGATCGGGATCGCGTCGGTGAAGCTATCGGTATTGGTAGCCGCACCGTCGGCAAAATATTAAGTGAAAAATATGGGCCTTCGGGGAGTGACAGTAACGTACTTCACACGCCGAAAAAAAGGAAAAGAACTAAACCTGTGACAGGTATCGATGACTTCGATAGCCATGCTATTAGAAACCATATCTATGGTTATTTTACAAGAGACGAATTTCCAACATTGGCAAAGTTATGTGCAACTTTAGAAGATGCCGGGCTGTGCAAGGGAAGCATAGAGTCGTTGAGAACGATAATAACAGGAATTGGCTTCAGATACAAAAAAGTTGACAAATGAAAAATTGTTATGGAGCGACATGACATAATTATGCAGCGACTAACAATCCAGCGCGAAGTAAAACAAATTATAAACTGGGATAATGTAATATTTTTGGACGAAACATGGCTAAATTCCAACCTCTCTGTGCCGAAAACATGGACAGATGATTCTGAAGCTTCGTGCTCGAAAGTGCCGATAGGGAAAGGTCATTATATGCCATGCTGGATCAGCGTCTGCAGGTTTCGTGGAAAATTCATTATTAGCTTTCCAATCTAAAAGCACAAAAGAGTATCATGAAGAAATGGACGCGGAAAGGTTCCAAGAGTGGTTCTTAAATTTACTAACGAATATCCCTCCTAACAGCACAATTATAATGGATAATGCCCCATACCACTCTGTGCAAATTGATAAAGTACCAACATCAGCCAATAAGAAAGCAGATTTGGTGGCGTGGCTGCAAAGAAAAGGAGTGGAAGCCGACATGTCACTATTAAAAGTTGAATGGTTACATTTAGTGAAATTGCATAAACCACCAAGACCGACTTATGCTATTGACCAATTAGCCGAAGAACACGGGCACAAAGTCATACGACTTCCTCCGTACCATTGCCAATATAATGCCATTGAACTGAATTGGGCCCAAGTTAAAGGTAATACTTTATAATATAATAATATTTTTTAGTAGTTGATTATATTAATAACAAGAACTTGTTCTTAATAAGCTGAAATATATTGTGAATTGAGATTTTCCGTTAAGTACAGTAATACTGTAAAACATTACCCTTCTTCTTCGCAGTTGTGTTAAATTGTACATTACCTAACAAAATATAGCAAGATTAGCTTAACACATTTTGTAGCCACATAACACAAGTGCCTCTAGCTTTTATAATTTAAAAAATAGTGTAAGTCTCCCACCTAATAATTATATAATTGTTTTACAGGTTATGCAGCAAGACACAACACAAAACCACCCTTCAGTGTCAAGAAAATGGAAGGCTTATTAAAGGAAGCATGTGCGCAAGTTACACAAGAAGATTGGTTAAAAGTAGTAGAAAAAACAAAGAAAATAATAATGGACGACTTCAACAGAGACGTAAAATTCGATGGTTTCATGGATAATCAACTAGTCATTCATTTAAATGACGATGATGACGAGGACGATAATGATTCCAGTACTTGTAGTGAATAAAAAAATATCCTAAACATTACTTTTATTTAAATGCTTCGACTTCGACCTTTAGAACCTTAAGATATTTTCGGTATTCTATCCTCAGATTACTACTAAAACCTAAATTTACCAATAAACAACCTTTTACAATAACATATTTAAAAAATATAGGAAAAGAGTACAGGGAAATAATATCTTAAATTTCGGATATTATGGTCATTGATCTCTTAAAATTCGGATATTATAGTAATCGATCTCTTAAAATTCAGATATCATAGTAATCGATTTTTTAAAACCCATCCCTATTATTCAATTTGTCAGAACTGTCAAACGGTACTTCTTAGATTTGATGGACTGTAGTGGTACTTACAAGATGTTCACCTAGTTTCTTCACAACAGGCTCATACTGAACTGTTTTCGACCAACTGTCACAGACAAAGCATAAGTTGAAGACGTACACATTGCGTTCGTATCTGGAATTGTCGATTCTGATCGGATACCCCACTATCTTATGGCCCATAGCATTACTGAAAACATTGAAAGACAGTCAATTAACATAAGTACACCAAAAAAAAAGATTATTAATAAAATCAATTACTGAAATGTACTTACATAGTCATTGTGCTTTTCTGTATTAATGGTTTTGGTATGATGTAAGCACTTATGGTGTCAAATAACTCTTTGGAGATGTAGTCTTCAGGAAACTGAAAAAATTAATAAAACGCGTCATTGCGAGGGAAGTTGCAATGAGGTAATGCAGGCTAGAATCTTGCCCGGGATCGCTGCAATTGCGCATGGCCCATGCAAGGGCGCTGACACCCGCTGAGCACCTATCAGAACGGCGCCGATTATTACAGGTAATATTTTATTGATTCGCGCATGTTAACGAAAATATAGTAAAATCAAGAAAAACTCATCTACAACTTGTGAGTCACTCGCGAAACAATAGTTATTTACTAACCTGGCACGATATTTTAGGGCCAGCGACTGGGTGAAATTCGCCCAGAAATATGCATCGTATGGGACCCTCGCGTCCACATCCCTCGTAATAACGAGTTTCCATTGCCTTCGAGGACATCATGCTGAATTTTGAATCCACGCCATCCTCATATTCGCGTTGCGGCAGCGCATTATTACGATTTCTTTGCACTTGCATTGGATTTTTTTAGAGGAACATTATCACAAGAGAAATTAATAAAAACAGCTTTCACTGGGAAAGCTTTTATCTATATTTAATGCTTTTAAAAAAGCTGTTTTCAGGCGTGGTGGTATCGTAAATACCTACAAATTAAATTCTAGGAATTTGACAATGACATTCTGACAAAATCATGACATTTCCTACTTTTTTTTTGTAATACTGTTCAAATATGGAAAACAAAGGATACTAAGTTCATACAGCCGCGCATTCAGTATTTTTATTTCTTAAAATATTCGATAATATTTGTCTTTCAGTTTCTCAATAAGTTTATATGGAATACGGGATCTTAGTCTTCTAAAATGCTCTAAGCAGCATTAAGCCACTAAATCTAAAAGCAAAAATCTTATGCTACTACTTGACATAGCTAATAAACGTATTAATTTGCTTTTTATAAATTTTACTGTAGTACCTATCAACGTAATCATAATGGATCTAAATCTTAAATTAGAAATTCCAGGGACGGATGCTGACCGACTCCAACCACTTGGTACTACTGGCATAAATTTATTTTAGCAGGGGTAAGGTAAATGAATAGGTAAGAAGCAAGGTGAAGAGTCATAAATATGTAGGAAAGTATTATTTAATTTTAGATTGTTTGGTGTATGTTAGCGCCATCTTTGAGCTAGAGTAATAGTTTAAGTCTTGTATCGTTAGAACATAGTAACATAATATTGACAAAGATGTCGCTGCCAAAAATGTGAGCAAATACAAATTAATTACGAATCATGTACCTACAAATAAACTGACGACAACAATAACAGAAACAGAGACATCTCCAGTCCACCCACAGAACTAAAAAAAGAGTTTTTTTCTGTTCCGTGAGACCACCCATACTCATAACTAGAGCTTTCAGTTTTTTTTTAATTCGCAATTGTTTTCAATCAACGTTAAGTTATGCGACACTCACTACTACACCAATAGACCTTAATCTTTAAATATCTGTACCCCTAGCACGAACCAATATCTATCGAATTCATAACGGTTGCGAGTACGAAATATCATTGTCAAAGGTGTAGTACTGATTTTTAGTTTTTGTTACGTCCGTTATGGCGCTGCTGTACAAGTTTCCATACAAAATTTGACAATGACATTTTGGATTCGCAAACTATTCGATTGCGATATTGGTTTGTGCTAAGGGTACAGGTAGGTATTAAAAGCCACTCGTGACATCATACCCTTTCTAATTATTCGACACAATAATGCCATGCACACATGTCATACACTCCACCAACTAGACTTATTGAACGACTCGTCTTTCTCAAATCTTCCATCAGCAACCCGAGGAGCATTGGAACCAGTTTTTTCAGTCATCCTGCTGCAGTCAAAGCTGTATTGTAGGAGTTCGATAAAGTGCTTCACAGCCAGGGAAAAATTTACTTGGTGGTAAATAAAACAAGAAAGGGGAGAAACTATAAGTCCGGTCAAATAATACAGAAAAATAAAAGTGAAGGTGCATAAATTCCCATTAAGCGGAAAATGAGTATAATTGTTCTAAACATAATTGAAAACAACATCAAAATTCCCCATCGTTCCGGTACATGGAAAAAAATACTCAGGTCAAATAATGAGGTTTTTGCTATTTTCATCAAAACGGTAAGTTTTATCAATGAGGACTACCGTTTTCCGGCTCACCAGATGGCGCCAATGTTGAGTGAGGTCCTAAATTGTAACTTTTAAAGTTTATTAATACGCACATGAAATCAAAGGTTACATTTAGATCGTATTTTAACACAAAAGAACCATATCCTAAACATAATAGGCCATGCCACAGTGACGCCCAGTTCCGTTTTATTCGGAAAAAATGGGAACATAATCATTTTTCTAAGCTCAAATTTTTAATAACTGACATTCATTGCCACATAACTCATATTTGCCATAATTAAGCCGAATTGTTACCAATTATTCACAACATTATTTTAATAAGAAATAAACTCGCGTAGTCAACCAACAAGCAATAACATTTGACATTTCGGAGACCTCACGCTACACTAGCGCCTCTAGCGGCGGATTCATACGCGATAGCCCTCATTACCTAAAACAAAAAATGTAAATCATAAAATTATCTGTAAGAAGGATCAATATTCTTTTTCCTAAGAGCGACCTTTCCTGAGATATAATGATTCAAAGTTGTAAGCTTCATAATATGCACACGTTTCCACGTCTTTGAGGTAGCGTACTTAGCCCGTTTTTTCATAATCATAATTAAAATATTTCAGTTTAGGCTGTTACAAGCACTCATGAATGTCTAGAAGCTACGACATCGTAAATCTACAGCGGGAGACCTTGTACTGAGAAGAACCGGCAAGAAACTCTGCAGGGGCTGTTTTTTCTCCTTGTTTTATTATTTACAGAGTCGTCAAGTTAAAAAATGACTTCAGAGATAACTCATTAAGTCACCTTCCATTACATATTGATTGATTAAAAATACATTAATTGTCTACCTGCATTTTGATTGCGGTGTTATACAGTATAAATACAAATAGCGTTATTTATATTTTAACGTGGTTATCACAGTAATCGTATTCCACAGGTCTGTTGTGATAAGTGTTGCCAGGTCCCGATTTTCAGGGGTCTGGGGACGAGTCCCTATTTGTACCTGATCGTGACGCTAAAAGTCCCGATTAATCAAAAACATAAATTTAGGTAATTATTGTAATACTCTACATATACTAAAGAGGAGCTCGATGGCGCAAGTGGTTAGCGCGTTCGGCTGCGATCGTTCAACTTAAGCAACTTTCGCAGTGGTCGGTCATAGGATGGGTGACCAAAAATTTACTATATCGAGCCGCTCCTTGCTTTTGAAGGCACATTAAGCCGTTGGTCCCGGCTGCATTTGCAGTCGTAAGCAGCCACCAATCCGCACTGGGCCCGCGTGGGGGGTCATGGCCCAATCTCCCTATTCCATCCATAGAGAAGGCCTGTGTCCCAGCAGTGGGGACATTAATAGGCTGATGATGATGATGATGAATATAATACTATACTTGCACTAGTAGTTTAAAACGCAATAAATTAAATCAAGACTTAAAACCCTTTGTTTTTTGTTTACTGTCCCGATCTGGAACCCTAAATCCCAAAATCCCAATAAAAATTTTTTTGACCACATGTACCGATTTGAAACAAATCAGACCTGGCAACACTAGTTGTGATTATGTTTAATTGGAAACTATTGCATAATAAATTAACAAATATAAGTAAGTAAGGGTTGGAATAGATAAAAGCGATGGAAATTAAAAAACAGTAGAAAAATTTATTCGTTCGCTTCATAATCTTCAATTACTTCTTGTTGTTGTTTATCTTCTTGATCTTCTTCTTTTTGATCTTCCTCTTCTACATCCTGGGTTTAAGTGAGTTGCGTCAGTAGCGAAGTATCACATGTCTCTTCGTTGGTAGCAAGCGAATCCTCTACTGTTGGTGATTCCACAATCACACAGTCTTTTACAATCAAATATCTCTTATCTATTAGACAAGTCCATCCGTCTGTCTGTCTGTGGTGCTGTTTCAGCGGCAAAACCGTAAGAGATAGATAAAGAGAATATTTAAGTTATAAGTTAAGAATAGTCTGATAAGACTACAAACCGGATTTGAGTAACGTAGCACTTAAGGTTTTCGAGAAATCACGAATTTCAAACGAAACCACACAAAATCTCCGAAGTTCTCAATTAATTAAATACATTTTTTTTTTGAAGTTATACTTCTTTAGGCGCGTTATAAAAAAATTATGAGGGTGAAATTTTAAGATGCGCGCGCATCTGTAACACAAAAAATTAACACCATGAAGTTGGTCGCTTTAGCGACCAACTTCATGTGCCGCGCTGCCATTACCGCGTCGCCCCCCGCACCGTACGCATGCGCGGCCACTCGCGGTCCTAGCGCGGGAAACACGTACAACAAACATCGGCAAAAGTTACGAGTTTTGAATTTAGAACAGAGACTGTTTTCATATCTATATATATAAAAATGAAACCCGTTTTCCGTTGTCACGACATAACATGAAAACGGCTTGACCGATTTGGCTGTTTTTTTTTGTAGTTTTCTAATACTCTGTACAAGGTTCTTACGGAAAAAAATATAAAGAAAATCCCAAGGAGATAAAATAAGGAATGAAAGTTTGTATGAAACTTTATCAATTTTAAACCGATCGGGCTGAGACTTTGCATGCAGGTATAAGAAGAATCATAGATGAATGTCATTGTGTATAATACAAGCCTGAGAACAAAAACTGTAGTCTACACTTCAGCTCTACACCGAAGCGAAGCGAGGGCGGGCCGCTAGTTTATAATATTTATCCACATGTTTCTAGTTTGTATATTCGGAATACGTGTTTGAGTTTCATACAAGTGCAAATCACATATGTTCTAATAAATTATATTCAGTAGCGATTTTAATTGAATATTTTGATTATTTATTTATTTTTTCAAATTAAAACTGAACTTTATTGACTGTGTCCTTTTCCAGAATTTTTATTAATTTATTGTAATTAATTATTTGCATGCAATTAAAAACTAATTTTAAACGATGCCAAAGAAGGATAACTTCTCACGCGCCTACATAAGTACACGCACCCATTTTTTTATATCAGGTTTTGGTGAACATTTGGTTCACTGGTTTGCTAGTTATATTTAAAAGCACATAGTTTACACTTCAACCTAGAAATAGAGACAACTTGAACGATCCATAATTTATTTTTTAGGTGTTTACGTGCATTCATAAAAACATGCATTTGTAGTATTTATTGTTATAATTTAAATTCGCGTGGATTTTTTTCTAGTTATATTTTCTTTAGATATTAATTTATTATTTATGTTTTCAACAATTGTATTCACTTTCAGCGTGACGGGAATTTATACACCTTAGAATATCTAAATTGACCGGACTATAATTATGATGTTTTATAGTTACACCATTGGTCATTGGGAAGAACTAAGAACCCAATAATATTGTCCTAACTTGCTCAAGAAGTTTCCAGAGCCAGCAAGTGGGTAAGTATTTATAAGAACACAAAAACGGAAAGGTAGTCAATTGCTTTTGACAAGCACGTAGATACCTAGTTTGAAGACTATTCATTTCTCGTCTAACGATGTTATTGACGTTTTCAGGACCAATAATGGGTGTC